CGGAGGCGGAGGCGGAGGCGGAGGCGGAGGCGGAGGCGGAGGCGGAGTCTAAAGCACTGTACATTTCTGCAGTCAATTCCTGTACTATTTAGAACTATCTCAGAGGCTCTGGGGCTCACAGTTACCTGGCTCTATGAATGGTTCCAGGAGGGTACAAAGCATGGGGATAAGAATCTTTATTCACTTTTTCCGAATGAAAGTAGGAATAATAACTAATTTTAAAACAGATTAAATGAGTAAATACACACAAAGCATTCAGAAATAGAGCCAGACCAATGGGTCATTTTCTTAGATATTTGATCACAAATGGCCAAACATTGAAAGTGCGCACTGCTCTCATTCTGGTCTTTTCATCCATCCTTCAGGGTTACTCGTGTATAGGAAAAGAAGAGGCTACTCTGTGTGGGGACCTTTCCCTCCTATGCGTCCCTTCCTCACAGGAGTACAAGAGGGGAAAGGGATGGTCCAGATAATGTCTTGCCTGCTAGTAGCTTTTTCATCTTTGACTCTGTGATTCAGAGAGTCAGCAGGGATACAATGAGTGGACTATAGAGATTGGAAAGTCTCTTATCCTGAGGTCTCTTATCCAGGAAGAGACCAAACACATTTTGGGTTTATTGGCACAGTTGCCATATCATAAACTTTGGCATCAGGAAGACTCTGGGTTGGTCCTTCTGTCTTGTCTGGTAGATAGTTATAGCTGAGATACTGGAGAGTATCAGGAAGCTAGAAGAAAGATCCTCCTACTCTGGAGGAAAGCCAGAAGAGAATGAGATGATTTTTGTAGGGTTTCAGATTTGAGCAGATTTCTTCCAGACCTTTCTCAGCCAAAAGAGGGCCAACCCTGCATTGCAGCAGCTTAGTTTGCTCTGTTAATCTCCTGATATTTCTTTCATGTGAGGTGGGGGTAGGATGCTGAAGAATAGAGATGCCTCTCCTTCCTATCATCCTCCCTACTCTTGCGTAGGCAGGTCTTCTTTTCCCATGTTTTCATTTCTCCATGTTTTATATGCATTCACAGTGGAAACTGCTTAGAGTTGCAGGGAAGTCAGAGCAAATTAGGTAAGCAGGCCTGACAGGCACTTGGTGGATGTTAGCTGTGTGGGTTAATGAGACGTCCTGACAGATGAGGCTATGGGAATCCTAAAGAGAGGTGAGGGCAAAGAGTACGTGATGGGATCTAGGATTAGATGCCAAACAGTTCAGAAAAAGAACAGGGAGATTGAAGAATCAAGAGTGGCAATGGCAAGAAAATTAGTGAGAAGATTCTAGAGGAGATAGTTGTTTCCTGACTTTCAGGGTCAGAGTAGAAAAGTCAGAACTAAGAAACAGCCATGAGACCTATTGTTGTATGTGGCCTTTGGGAGAGCAACTATAATGGGCTGGTGTGTGGGAGCAGGCAGACTACAGTGGGTGAGTAGAAATGGAGGTTGTCTATATTAGAGGAGCAGAAGGATGACAAGGATCAAGTTTTTGCAGAGGATGTTTTGGATGGGGAGACTTGACCGGGCTTGTAAGCTGAGGAGGGTGAAAGGTTTGGATCTAAAAGGATAGGCTAGATAAAGAGTAATCCCAGTAGAGTGAAGGTGTTCCTCTTCCCTTCCCAGGCCTGACAAAATCACCAGAGAGCTGGGTTTAGGTTGCAATACTTTAATGTAATACATTAAAGGGCAGACCAAGAGGTGGTGGTCAGATGAGCAGAATATGAGTGATGAAGGCACCACCTAGCAGGAGATTTAGTGGTTAGGCATTTTTTTTGTCTTCATGGCTTCATGATACCATTGGCACCAGGGATTATGCCTTCTGCACCATTTATAGATCCTTCAATTATTTTACCCAGTTCTTTCTCCACTGTCTGGCTTGACTTAGTCAGTTTTTCCTCTGAGGTGGTTGCTGTAATTTGAAAATAGAAATATCCAGTTATGGTGGTCTCCCATTCACACCTCCATCCTCCCACCCCCAACAGCTTCCTGCAGTGCTGGCAGTTGGTTTACACTTAAAATTTGTCCTTCTAGGACTTCTTTTTCCTTTGCAGAGCCTCCTATCTATACAAGCTATTGTCTGCCCTGCCTTCCTCTGCTTACCACCTTCCTAGGTATTTCCCTTCTTCCCTGGCTCATACCAGCTGAGGTGATGGGGCTTGTAGTCTCTTCCAGCAGTGATGACTCACTCCTAAGCCCATCCTGGGCCTCTTGAGTCTCTGGTTTGGTAGATTCTATCACCACATTATCTTTGGAAGCCGGCTCTTCTTCGAAGATGGAAGGCTCCTTAGAAAGGTCCTTACTGGAAGTACTCTCCTTGCTGGTGTGGCTGGTGGGAGTGGACTGGGCAGCTGGAACCAAGAACATGTAGGGAGTGAGGGGTAAAAAGATCTTCTGGGAGAAACAGTGTCTCTTCACTTGGTCCATTAGTGTTGAGTTATTGCCTAACTGATTAATAGTGGCATTGGGGTCCTATGCTAGCATTCATATCCCTGAGCTCCTCAAGTCATGGATTAGATTTCTAATGCCATGATTAAGAATTTCTGCTACTCCAACTCCAGGAAAATCCACCTTCTCATTTAAGAGCCATTTGCAAACACCTCTCCCTTTGCTTAGCTTATATGAGGAACCTCTTAACCTTGGTTCTTCCTTCTGAATGTCAAGTGTTTTTCTCCTTTAGTTTCTCAGACTTCTCCCAGGTTAATCTGGGAAGTTAGCTCATGATTAAACCATGTTTACAGCTAATCTACAAAACTGAACCCATCAATGTTTAAGGTTTTTGGGCTGTGTGGTGAGACTCCCCCTTGTCTCTGAGTGAGCTGAAATATTACCTGCTAGCACTTGGGTGTGAGGTGCTGTCCCTATCCAATTTCCAATGACTATATAGCATGAGTGCTATACAAAAGGTTCCTGTCCCCCAGATCTATGGCACATCAGTGCAGCAGGAAGAATTAAGGCCAACAGCAGGAGGGACTGTTTGCTCACTTTCTCCTAACATTATTTACTTTCTAGTCTTTTGCCACCAACAATTAGCAGATGCTCTCATGAGACTTACTGGCATCTGTGGGCTGAGTCTTCATGTAGAGTTCATCTTTGGACCCTGAGGAGAGAAGATAAAATCTCCAGAGATCTCAAGATAGTTAACATGTGAACTGGTCATTTATAGTCACCCCATTGCAGCTTCCTCAACCTCTTTGTTGTTTGTTTGCTTTAGATAGTATTTTTCATGGTAGTTCTAGTTGGCCTGGAATGTGCATGACTCCCCTGCTTCTGCTTCCTGAGTTTTGGAAATGTAGGTGTGTACCACCGTGCCTAGCTAGTCCCTTATGCTTCTCTTCTCTACACTTCCCTTAGCATTTCTAAAATTCTGTGTGATCTTTTTAGTATGTTTACTTTTTTCTTTTTCCTCTAATGAAATTTCAACGATGACAGAGGTTTTTATGTAACCTATTAGTGTATTCTAAGTCCCTGGAACTGTATGGTACAGAGTGAGTGCTATGGATAGCACTTGATGTGGTGTGTGCATCTTGCTCTCATTGTACCAAGGGAGCTAAGGAGGCCTAAAGCAGTGATTTTACTTGGCTTGTGCTAAACCAGCCTCTGGTGATAGGATCTAACAGAATCTCTGTTGACCAATAGTCTGCCCTGTTATGGGTTCAGCCTAGCTTTTGAAAACCATAGTCTTGGTTTTCTAGGTTCCTGAACTCAGGGGATATATGTCTTCATGCCCACTTCCAGCTCTGTGGCTTTTTTCACTCCATGTCTTATCATCTCTCTACCATGGCGGTGATGTTGCTTATCTGACAGCCCCATGGCCTGTAGGAGACTAAGGAGGGCAGAAAGAAAGGCACACTTACCAGGCAGGGCAGCAAGAGAGGTGGCAGCAAGGCTGGCAAATAACAGGACAGTGAAGAATTTCATGGTGGCACTGGAACAAGCTCAGCTTTCCCTGGGAAGCTGTGTAGAATGCTGAGTAGCAGTCTGGCTGGGGCTTTATTTATTTTGGGGTAAGGATACTGGACAATAGTTGGAGATTAGACCAGGAAGCAAGCCAGGTTTCCCCTCTAATTTCCATTCAGACTACACTGTGTTTTGGGAAGTGGTGTTTCTGGGAAATGAGTTGGCAAGAAAGTAAGGCCCTCAGCCTTCCCTTTGGCCTAGCTACTGCCATGGTGTGCCAGCCCCAGGTGCCATCTCTTTGTACCTTTGGGATAACTTCCTGAGTGGTCTCCTTTCCTTAATGTTACTCATTACTGGTATTATTTTTACAGTTTCCCTCTGATTATTTAATTATTATCTGTTTCCTTCAGAAGAGTGAAACATCTGTGGGGCTAGGATTATTCTTGCTTTTCTTGCCATGGTTTCTCCAGCACCTCTCTAGCAGCTGGCTCATATTTGGGTCCAGAAAATATTGCTTATGTGACTGAATCAAGGAAAGACCAGATGATCCCTCAGGGTGCAGAGAAACCTCCCCATCAATTCAGGAATGGAGGAGTGAGGCAGATACAAGAATTCTACCTGCTAGGTTGTGTTCTGGGTTTGCTTACATAGGATGTCTCATTTGATAGATAATATTTGGGAAGTTACTTATTAATCAAGAAATTCATATTTCAGCCATGAGGTGGCTTCTACCAAACACATATTTGTATGTGTTTTCCTCCATTAGTGTAGATTTACTATGAAAAATAAAGGGCTTCATTATGACACTCCATATTATCTTCTTTGGTTCCCTTCCTTCCTGAGTGTTCCTTTTCTCTTTCCAATTAATTTCCCTTCATCTATCTATCTATCTATCTATCTATCTATCTATCTATCTATCATCTATCAATCAATCAATCAATCAATCAATCATATATTTGTATTTTTGTTTTTTGAGACAGGGTTTATCAAATAGCCTTGGCTTGGAACTCACTAGGTAGACCAGGCTGGTTTCTAACCTACAGAGATCTGTCTGATCCTGAGTGCATCCTGAAAATGCACCACTAATGCTCTGACATATGTGTGTGTGTGTTTGTGTGTGTGTGTGTGTATGTAAGTTTTAAAAAGTCTATTTAAAGTAGACCACTCTAACTCTGCCTCCAGAGTCTAGTGACTCTAAATAGAGCAGTAAGATGTCTAAGGAAGCCTCTGGAAAGGAGATGGAGGATAAACCTAGGATTAATGTCCCATTCTGGCTTAAGGATTGAACTAGTTTCTTTCTTCATCAGAGGTTTTGATGATGTCTGTGAAACCTGCCTCTGGATCATCTCCAGACAAGAAAAGTCTGCTGCATCCCAAGACATCTCTCAGGTGCATGTTTGCTGGGGACCGGATAAAGTCCACCCTTCAGAGCAAGGAGAGCTTGGGCTGTGCCAACCAGTGTGAGTCTTCCCTCTCTGGAGAGGAAAATCCAGGGCCTCATTCTTGTCCTCCTCTTGCTACATCTGGGGTCTCCTTAGGCAAGATGAGATAGTGAAGGAAGTTTGTTTTGAGCTGCTTCTCACCTCCCTTTCCTGCCTGATTTCTCCTCGCCAGCATTAATCACACCATAGACTATGGAAGTTACAAACAGGAGGGGACAGATAAGACATTCATAGGGAGTCCATGGGGCATCCACAGACATACTCTCTAATACATTTAAAAATCCATCACCACCAGGCTAGGCTATGGTAGTTTCTTCTCTTCTGTCACACATGAATGCTGGAGAGATCTCCTGGAGGTCATGTCACTTCTTTGTATGAAAGCCTCTAGAGATAAAGTTTAGACATTTTGGTCCTCTATCTTTTCTGCTTTATCCCTGACTTCTGCAAGATGGCCCCTCTTCCCTAGAATGCTAGGTTCATGCTATTGCTCTGTCAAGAAGGCTCTCCTATCTATCTGCCTGGGGTATTTCTACATCCTGCCCTTGAATAGACTTTTCTGCTGATTTTAAACCATCCCTCCTATCAGTTTGTCTTCCTTGGTGAGTCATCTGGCCCCACAGTATCTTGTTGGTGGTTTCCTTCTTTTTTCACTATCATGGCCCACTACTATTTATTGAGTACTAGCCATCTGCAAACTTTGGAGGATAGAATGGCAAATAGAGTCATTTGGGCCCTGGTTTTATAGCCTTTACTGTCCAAAACTTATCCCGTTTTACTGTAATTATATGATTTGACTCTTACTGACCTTGTTGGTCAGTTTTCCGTACAGGAATCATTGTTAGTTTATCCTTGCATCTCAATGTATTTAGCACAGAATTTAATACTTGCTGGATATTCCAGCCTGCATTTGTTGAATGAGTCATTTTGCTTATTTAAAACTCTACCTTGGGGAATACAATTCCCCAAGGAAGAAGCTCCTTAGTATGTGTGTGTGCCTGGTCCAGAACCTCCGAAAGACATTCAACAAGTAAGTATTTCAACTAGAACATACTGAAAGGTGCTGCAGCTGCAACTCAGGCACAAAAGAGTGGTCTCTGTTGTGTTACACAGGATTTCACATACAATATAAGAAACTCAGTTAGATGCAAATTTATTATTGGCAATGAATTTTTTAGTGTAAATATCTCAATACTGCATAAGACATAAGTATGTTTCAACTATGTCTGAGCTGACATTTAACTGTGTTCCGTATTTATTTCCTAAATTTTGCTCTCAAGACTCCTAGTAAGTCCTTCTATGTTCATACTTCCTACGCTGTCCCTCCAAGAGCTCAGGATCAGCCCTGTATGCTTGGTTAAGGAGTCAGATACAGGGAAACTCCGTTAGCTACTCCTGTAACTCCTTCCTGAGAAAAGAGGTCACAGAAGTTCTTTATATTCAAGATAGCTGACTTTGGCCAGATGACCCCCATTATCCTCACAATTCTTATATTGTGCAAATATGAGCTTTTTACAAAAGCGATCATCAATAGGCTAGATGTGAGGAAGACCAGTGGCTTCTGTGGAGGACATAAGACAGAGCTGCCTGTTTCTGGTGATGCATATTACTTAGTTTCTAACTAAGTCAATGAGGCCCCCCTCAATGAATTCTGAGACTGAGAGACAAAGAGAGAACAGTCTCAGAGATGTGAAAGCACTAAAGAATGAAAGGAGGAAGCAGAGAGCTTGGCACACATGGAGTGCTACTATTGCACTGTGTGGTCCTGGTCCACTACTGTGCTGTGTGGCCTTGGTCCACTGCTTCCTGCCTCTGAGCCTCAGTCTCCTTCTCATCAAAGAGAAATGGATCTAGATAGTTTCTTAGGATTATATCAAGATTAATATCCCCTGGGCCAGGAATAAAAATTTCACAGTGAGCAATGGCTATTCTCCCACTACAATGCACATCAGAATCAGCCATACTGTGCATTTGAACGTTTTTCTCTTCACTTAGATGTAGCCCAGGAATTTAAGACTCAGCATCCATGGCAAGTGTTGAGGAATATTATCCAAGATGGGAGGAGGAGTAGCTTCTCAGCAAATATTTCTTTCCTTACAATGATTTTGGGATCCAGAGTACCTGTTAGAGAGGGTGAGGAAAGGAGAGAGATGGGAGGATTCTGGATATATGTATATATGTATATGATGTGCATATGTGTGTGTGTGTGTGTGTGTGTGTATTCTGCCCCCCCCCATGCTAAAATTTAAACCCAGAATCACATTTATGCTGAGCAAGTACTCTATCACTTAGCTATACCCCAGCCAAAGGAAAAAAAAAAATTCAAGTCATTAATAAACATGTCAAGAGTTGCCCACTTAGTCTGATTAGATTTCTATAGCAAAAATACCACAATTATCTGGCTTGTACACAGAAATCTCTCTCAGTTCTGTATGTTGGGGACCACATGCAGGTAGATTAGATGTCTTTTGAGTCCTGAAAACCCTTCATTGCTCCCATTGTGTATTTTAAGGTCAGAGTCTCATTGCTTTTCCATGGTACAAACAGGATGGAATATCTTTGATAATAGGTACAAATCACCATCTATCTTCCAGAGGCTTCAAATGTCACCATCTAGGAGCCTAGATTTAAACATTTAGCCCATTGCAGCTCCTTAACATTAATACACATTGGGGAAAATCATGCTAATCCTGTAGTTAGAGCTTGCCACATCCTTCTGAATGGACAGAATGAAGACCAGCAAGTAAATCCAGTCAGTATGGTGATGTAGAGCAGTTGGAGTTTTTAGCTTGCTTCTGGGAGTGTGAATTGTAGAACACTTTATAAAATTTGAAAACCTATTAAAAACCTATTAAAGCTAAACATACATTTCTTCTATTATTATGTATATATTTCTGGACATAGACATAAGGAAAAGGATGCATAACTCCACTGGAAGATAGGTATGAGAGTGTTTATAGTAGAATTACTTATAATGGAGACAATCCACACATCTACCAGTAATAGAATACAGAACTATAGAATGCCACAGAGATTACAAAAAAACCCTGTTGTTATTTGGCACAATAGTTGGTTCCAAATATTGCTATTTAGAATGTGACAGGAAAAATATTGAAACAAAGCTAGGTTCAAGGTTCATACTGTATATGATTCAATTTATACAGAGTTCTTCAAAGACAAAGAATTAATGGTAACTAAGGTTAGAATAGTGGGTATCTTTGCTGTGTTCTGATGGGAGGAAGTGTAAGGGAACCTTCTCAAGTATGGGAAATTATATGATAATCTGGGATATTATAGTTAAAAATTATATATAAAATTTTATATATAAAAATTTTATATTATATATAAACTTTGTTAAGTTGACTTAAAATAAGTGTACCCAGTTAACCAAAACATAAGTGTTAGTTAGTTCATGGATGTTACTGATAAAAAGGAACACAAAGAATGTTGGAAGTATTGATAAATTGTCCTAGCCCTGATGTTAAATTGGAACAGGATGGAGATTAGAGCAGGTGATGGGAAGAAAGCTGTCTTGAATATGCTAGCATTAGGACAAAACCACACTGGCTGAATCATGTGACTCAGTAGTTATGGTTGACATCAATACCTGGTGTCAGAGGG